GCATGATGAGATGATCGAGTTCGTTGCCGTCGGCATGATAATATGAATGTATGAGAACATAATAGGATTATGTGGGCATTGAGTAGTGGACGTAGTGTCGGAGTGGATTACTCTAGGGTAGAATGATGTGATATCATTCCTAGTTGCGGGCTCATTAGGGTAGGACGACGTGATATCGTTCCTAATGAGGCACAACAATATTGTAGTGCGTTAGGAGTATTTCGAATGAGGTGTGATTGATGGGTGCACTAGGGTAGAATGATATAACATCATTACTAGTGGCTGTGTATTAATATTTGATCCTGTGTAGGATCTGCAGAACCTCGCTTGATGCGATGGTTATATTTGATCCCGTGTAGGATCTGCAGAACCTCGCTTGATGCGATGGTTATATTTGATCCCGTGTAGGATCTGCAGAACCTCGCTTGATGCGATGGTTATATTTGATCCCGTGTAGGATCTGCAGAACCTCGCTTGATGCGATGGTTATATTTGATCCCGTGTAGGATCTGCAGAACCTCGCTTGATGCGATGGTTATATTTGATCCCGTGTAGGATCTGCAGAACCTCGCTTGATGCGATGGTTATATTTGATCCCGTGTAGGATCTGTAGAACCTCGCTTGATGCGATGGTTATATTTGATCCCGTGTAGGATCTGCAGAACCTCGCTTGATGCGATGGTTATATTTGATCCCGTGTAGGATCTACAGAACCTCGCTTGATGCGATGGTTATATTTGATCCCGTGTAGGATCTGCAGAACCTCGCTTGATGCGATGGTTATATAATGATTCCTAGGAAAATCCGATGAGTTATAGTGTAACCGCATAAGTGCGAGAGGAGTGAATTCTAAGAGAATCTGACGGATGAATGAGTCGGTACCGTGGTTGTAGCGGCATAGGATCGAGGTGTCGGTCTCTATGAGTGCATCATCATCTCCATATGAAGAATTGGAAATATTACATTGAGAAGGTGTTAGGGTATGTATATATATATATATTTATTGCGTCTAGTCAATATGAGAACGAGGTCGATGTATATGTAGAGAGATTCTACTCACTAGGGTAGAACGGCGATGCGCCGTTCTTAGTGAGGTAGTTACCGGGGTAGAATGGCCGAGACGCTGTTCCCGGTAAAGCATAAGCGACGTACCCATAGTCCGGAAAAGGATTGAGGGTAGTGATGAGTCTAATATGAATCGCATGGTATGACCGCGATTGTCATATGTAATATGCCTAGGTGCAGGAATTGATGAGATGCGTTAGCAAATAAATAAATGTGAGAGATATTAACCGATGAATAGGCGGTCGAGTGAGAGCGATTATGTCTATGTGTATTCGATGCGGTGAGAATCTATGGTTATGCATTGTAATGAATAAGTATGAGGTATAGGCATTTGGTACTTGTACATATATATATATATATATATATATATATATATATATATATATATATATATATATATATATATATATATATATATATATATATATATATATATATATATATATATATATATATATATATATATATATATATATATATATATATATATATATATATATATATATATATATATATATATATATATATATATATATATATATATATATATATATATATATATATATATATAGATCTTATGCCTTGATTATTATGATATGTTTCTCACCCTTCTGTTGTTTTATAATGCCCTACGAGGCATTGCAGATTAGGATCCGCTGGAGGTTTCCTTTGGAGTATAGTTTTTTTCCCTCGTGTCGGTCCCTCTGATATGTAACTTTGGGTAGATAGGCTTGTAGAATGTCTTTTAATGTTTTGTTTGTATGTGAATGAAACTGTGAACAACCAGATGACATGTAATTACGTTTTGTCATGTCTTAAGTGAATATATATATATATGTTTTAGTCTTCCGCTTTAGAAGAAAACATGAATATGTAATTTCGAAGAATCATGCGTTTATTTTTAGTTGAGATTTACCCCTTTTGAGTTAATTCTTTTTAAACATTAATATTCATGTGGTCGTTTCGTGAGTATTGTGACACACTTCTTTTATACCTTAATGAAAATATACTCTGATGAAAATAAAAATACTTGTATTAGTGACTATGTGTTTTGATATGTGTTTATTTTGGGGTATAGAAAGGGGGCGTTACAATCATCGTGGTAATACTTGAATCAATTTTTGAAGGCAATGGAATTTGAATTTGATACTTGTTTTTATCAACACTGGAATGATTAAATAAAGGTAAACTAAACATGAAGACAATGTAATAATGATGTTACTCTTCTTCCCATGGGTGATACTTTATCATGTGAGGTATTCATTATATACACACCCAACATGCATTCCTTCCGTTATGTCAATGGAGGAAATGTGTCTTCTAGCCTAACAACAAACAATTAGCATAAAAAATAATTGATCAGTCAAGCAGTGTCTTAAGCAAGTGATTCCTAACATTGACAAACAAATATCTATTCAATATACAAAGGGAAAATGGAAAATTTATTGTGAAGTAGATGCCTGTTTGCATCCTGCTTCACATTGATGACATATTTGGCATCTATAGAGTTTGAGTTTATAATTTTAGTGCATCTTGTAACCTGTTCAAGAAATTATCATGATTAGCCATTATTACAAATAATTAAAGCACTTTGAACAATTTTTACAAAATCAGAGTGAGGCAAACTCACCTGAAGAGGCTGCTCCTCCTGCATCATTTGCTTATCAGAAACAAGATCCCACTGGCTAGGTGCCTTTAAACCAGTATCAAATTCCTTGATACATATTGTTATAATAGGAAGATAACATCTAAGCAAATGTACAATGTTGGGAGCATTCAATTCAAGCATTTACGACAAAACACAAATGCAATAAAATAAAACACTTATAAAAATATTAATTGTTGAGTCCTTTTTTCCAATTTGAATTAAATTTTAGAGACAAGAGTATACACAATTAACAGATCACTAGTTACCATTAAAACGAAAGGGTGCAAAGAGGTATTGCATATACAACACAACACCAATAAAAAGAAAAGAGTTGCACTCCAATAAGTGGCAATGTGTATAGAAGAATAAGGTAGTGATTTAGTGTAAAAAATGACTAAAACCAATATGTATAAAAGAAAAATGTCGTGGATTTATAATACAAAGTCCCACATCGTGTGAATTATATTTAATTTTAATTGTATATATAACATTCACAAACAATACAAAACATAATTTATGTGCTATAGAGAATGACTTCTAGCCCAATTAATACGTTTTTAAAATTTATTAATTAATTTTCATATGAATTTTGAATTTTAAAAAAAATTAAAAAATATATTAATTAATAATTTATTTACAAAATGGCGTCACATCTTAAAAAAGTGCCACGTATACCAAAAATTGGCATCTCAACGTTTTTTAGACCAAAAATAAGATGGTTGATTTCGTGAGTAGAATATAATAGAGGGACAAAAACGTATAAATAAATACAGTCAATGCGCCCTCTAGGCGTATTGGATGAGTCAAATTTCTAAAATGTCTAAAACAATCGAATCTTCAATTCGCAGGGTTGGAATATACTTTTTTTACAAAGTAAAGTGGAAGTTGCCTAATTATAAAGCAGACTACTAGACAAATGTAAGGAAATTTTCGAAATGTGTGTGTCTTTGATAGGTTCGTTAGACTTAATTTTATTTGGAGTCATCAAGCAAAAATCTCTAACTCTATTTAATTTTTTTCGCTACACTTAATTATAGTTGACATACACGTGAAAAACTTACGTAAAAAAAAGTGATTAAATTATATATGTAAGTGAAAAATTTAATCGGTAATAATTCAAAAAAATTTGTACTTAAATATATATCAATTGAATTATTTTATTTTTATTATTTAATATAGTAATAAAGATCTTAAAAATTAAATGAAAAATAAATATTTTTATTCTCTTCTTAAAAATAGTTTTGAAAAAATAAACTATGAAACAAATTTCTTATAATTTTGTTTATCAAACAGATTTTTTTTTTTAATTTTTAAAATTCTCTTCTAAAATCTTAAAAACTAAAAACCTAAATGCCCTTATTTTACTCTTATTGTTTGAAAAATTAATTTTATGTTATTTATTTACTATTATTATTGTTATTTTATTTTTAATTCGAACCCAGCGCTTGTTGTGATTGTAACCGCTGTTACAATTGTCTACTCTCTATTCTCTTCTCTTCTCTCTCACTCACTCCTTCTTTCGCTGTTTCTTCAGATCTCTTCTCCGATTCTAGGTATCTTCGTTAATCCGATCTACTTTTTCCATTTTCGTTCTTTCCTTTCAGATTTCAATTTTCCGTTGTTATTTTTTATCGTGAATTTCGTTTTTTGCGATTTAGGTTTTCGTATTGGGGTGTTTCGACACGTTAATTTTATTCTTTGTTTGGATTATGATCGATTTGAATCGGTTTTCGTATTGAATTGGATTCGATCTATCATCGTTTTGTTTTAATCTATTTACTCGAATTGATTAATACTCGTGCTACATGAAAATAGCACGCAGTTGCCGCAGTCAAGTCAACTGTATATTATGCATTCGCTTAACTGCAGATTTGATTTATTTTCTTATTTCATGTTGTAATTTGTTATCGATTGGAGAAAACTCAATTAATCTTTGATACATATGAGCTGGCTACCATTAAAGAACATGCCTTTGTGTTATGCTGATAAATTCAGTTTTAATTTGAATATAATTTCGCAGTCAGTCTTTTTTCGGGTTCGTTTCGTACAATAACCATATGATTGTATTTTTGGGTTATTTTTTTCTGCTTGATTAATATATGCTGTTATTTTGTGGTTTGTGGCCATATTTATATATTGTTTATCTGGGATCCGGATAATTTATTAACAAAATAATTGCTTCTTCAATAGACTCATTATCTTGCCTTACTTTTTATTTTTCTTTATTTTCAATTTTTCTTTTAAGTGGAATATTGAGAGCTTATTGTTTTGTGCCATTAGGTATAGCATGTCGATGGAAGTTACTCAGGCACTTTTGAATGCTCAATCAATTGATGGAACTGTACGTAAGCATGCTGAAGAAAGTCTGCGGCAATTTCAGGAGCAAAACCTTCCTGGTTTCTTGGTCTCTCTTTCTGGAGAGTTAGCGAATGAAGAAAAACCTGTTGATAGTCGCAAGTTGGCAGGTTTGATACTTAAAAATGCATTGGATGCCAAGGATGAAAACAGGAAGCGGGAATTGGTTCAGAGATGGTTGTCATTGGAGACCGCAGCAAAGGCCCAGGTTAAGGCATGCTTGCTACAAACACTCTCTTCTCTTGTACTTGACGCACGGTCAACGGCAACTCAAGTTGTAGCTAAAATTGCGGGAATTGAGCTTCCTCATAAACAGTGGCCTGAACTGATAGGATCACTTTTATCAAATATTCATCAAGTTCCTGCTCATGTCAAGCAAGCAACTTTGGAGACTCTCGGGTATTTGTGTGAGGAAGTCTCTCATGAGGTTGTTGAACAAGACCAAGTAAATAAAATTCTTACTGCTGTAGTTCAAGGTATGAATTCATCTGAGAAGAACAATGATGTCAGACTTGCTGCTACTAGGGCGTTATATAATGCTCTTGGATTTGCACAGGCTAATTTTAGCAATGATATGGAGCGTGAATATATCATGAGAGTTGTTTGTGAGACAACTATGTCTCCTGAAGTGAAAATACGACAGGCAGCTTTTGAATGTTTGGTCTCAATTGCTGCCATGTATTATGTAAAATTGGCTCCTTACATCCAGGATATATATAACATCACAGCAAAGGCTGTTAGGGGAGATCAGGAGCCTGTTGCTCTCCAGGCCATTGAATTCTGGAGTACGGTTTGTGACGAGGAGACTGATATCTTGGAAGAATATGTTGGCGATACCACTGGGGAATCTGATTTACCTTGTTTTTATTTCATTAAGCAAGCCCTTCCTGCACTCATCCCTCTGCTGTTGGAAACATTACTCAAACAAGAAGAGGATCAAGATCTGGATGAAGGTGCATGGAATATTGCAATGGCAGGTGGTACATGCCTTGGTTTAGTTGCTCGCACAACTGGAGATGATATTGTGCCACTGGTAATGCCCTTCATCGAGGAGAATATTACCAAACCTGATTGGAGACAGAGGGAAGCAGCCACATATGCGTTTGGCTCTATCTTGGAGGGCCCTTCTCCAGACAAACTCATACCCCTTGTCAATCATGCTTTACCTTTTATGCTCAGTGCTTTAGTGAAGGATCCGAGCAACCATGTTAAAGACACCACTGCTTGGACTTTGGGACGAATGTTTGAATTTCTTCACAGTTCAATTGTTGGCACACCAATTATTAATGAGGGAAATGCCCAACAGATTATTACAGTTCTCCTTCAAAGCATGAAGGATGTCCCTAATGTTGCTGAGAAAGCCTGTGGAGCCCTGTATTTTCTTGCCCAGGGTTATGAGGATGTGGGACAAACATCTCCCATTACTCCCTTTTTCCAAGAAATTGTTCAAGCACTTCTCACTGTTACCCACAGAGAGGATGCTACAGAATCACGATTAAGAGCGTCAGCATATGAAACATTGAATGAAGTAGTAAGGTGTTCAACAGATGAAACAGCTCCTTTGGTTTTACAACTAGTTTCTGTCATCATGATGGAGCTACACAAATGTCTTGAAGCACAAAATCTTTCATCTGATGAAAGAGAAAAACAGAGTGAACTTATAGGCCTTCTTTGTGGATGCTTGCAAGTGATTATTCAGAAGCTAGGGTCTTCAGAACCTACCAAATATGTTTTCTTGCAGTATGCTGATCAGATAATGGGACTATTCATCAGGGTTTTTGCATGTAGAAATGCCACTGCACACGAGGAGGCCATGCTAGCTATTGGAGCCCTTGCCTATGCAATAGGCCCTGATTTTGCTAAATACCTGCCAGAATTTTACCAGTTTCTGGAGATGGACCTTCAGAATTTTGAGGAGTACCAAGTTTGTGCTGTAACTGTTGGTGTAGTAGGCGACATATGCAGGGCATTGGAGGATAAAATACTGCCTTATTGTGATGGGATTATGACACAACTTCTCAGAAATTTGTCAAGTGATAACTTGCACCGTTCTGTTAAGCCGCCACTATTTTCATGCATTGGTGATATAGCACTTGCTATAGGAGACAACTTCAATAAGTACTTAATGTATGCAATGAACACGCTACAAATTGCTGCAGAGACTTATGCCCACACATCTGCCTTTGATTTGGAAATGACAGAGTACATTAACTCTCTGAGAAATGGGATATTAGAGGCATATTCTGGGATCTTCCAAGGTTTTAAGAATTCATCAAAAACCCAGCTCTTGATTCCTTATGCTCCCCACATCCTCCAGTTCTTGGATAGCATATACATGGAAAAAGACATGTAAGAAACAAAATAGTTAATTTTTTGGTAATATATTCATTGTTTAAGCTAAGTGACTTCATCGACTTTTCACATTGCAGGGATGATGTGGTTATGAAAACAGCCATTGGAGTCCTTGGAGATCTAGCTGATACACTTGGAAGCAATGCTGGTTCTTTAATTCAACAATCTTTGTCAAGCAGAGATTTTTTAAATGAATGTTTAACCTCAGATGACCATATGATTAAAGAATCTGCTGAATGGGCCAAGTTGGCTATCAATCGTGCTATATCTGTTTGAGGTTCATCTCAGTTAGCATATCCTTTGTCATAGACTACTTGCATGCATTTGGGTGTGTCGAGGTGGGTCGTGGGATTGCATGTGTCACATTGTCTCCATGGTCAGACAGCAGAAGGTATCTATTTGAAGGCCTTCAAGTTGTCACTAACTCTTGCATCATCTCCAATGCATCACTGACCTTTGCATGAGCACCATTGAGTCCAGTACGTTCAAGAATGCATCACTGACTTTTGCATCAGCACCATTGAGTCCAGTACGTTCAAGAATGCATCACTAACTTTTGCATGAGCACCATTGAGTCCAGTACTTTCAAGAGGAAGAAGTTAGCGACAAGATTACAATGTGGGTTTAGATCTTCAAGAGGAGTGTAAGTTGAATGGCTGAGCGGCTGAGGGAAGGTAACTGATTCATGACTGAAACTACTAGTCTCATAGTCAGGCTTGGATGCTGAGTTTAAAGTTGAGATAAACCCGTTTTATGCGAAAAATGATTTTTTTCCTGATCTGGTCGCGGGTTATTGGAATAGATGAACTCTCAGGGTTGAACTGGTTTTCGTCAACACCGCCCAAGTTCTTTGTTTCTAGATATTTTCTTCCCTTTTCTGACTTTTAACCCTGCATCATCTTGAGTCATTTTTTTCATCACCTCACTGTGTATCCCTAGGCAGTTTATGAGCCATATTTCTTTTTCTGCACATAACTGCTTTTCTATTCTGAGTCATTTGTGATTGTTGACCCAGGATGTGAAAAGTTACTTCCTACTTGCATTATGCATTTCTTTTTTGATGTCATTTGGTTTATTAGGTCAAAATCATTTTGAATTCATGCAATCATCAAACCTTCTTTATATTTTTGTTTTGAATTGCGTATGTAAAATCATATATTGGCTATTCCTGTGGATTGGTACAAAAGATGGTCGGATATAATGTGACGAGATCAAAAGAACCAACTGAATGTGACGGATTGCCGTTTCTCTTATTGGAATGCAGTCGTTTGGGTTTAAGCCTTTTATTTGATATATTTCCTTTGTGTCTATAAAAATTTGTGAATTTTGGTTTGTTCGGGCATTTTGTCATGTGTCCTGTATACCTTAAACCTTAATATGTTTTGGTGAATGATTTCATTTTGGGTACTTTGATAAGATGAAATTGTATAATTTTGTTTTATTACTTTCATAGGCAGTCTTCATTTGGATATTTTTATGTTTCCTTGCATAATGTACCATTAGAGTACTTGAAACAAAATTCATTAGTAGTTATACGAATCTTTCTGTTTATTATTATTTTCATCAAAATTGTGGTGCAGGAAGCAAAGTGGTGAGGAACCAAATCCAAAAAAAGTAATCTAGTTGAAAAATATAGATTAGATAACCAAATTAAAGACATTTAACTTGTTTAAGTTTTAATATATAGTTCACTATTCATACTTATTATTCCAAAACAATCATATTGTTTTGATTTCAGTTAACTTTTAGAGGGTTTAGGTCAATCCAATTTAATGAACACTCCCTGCAGATTAAATCCAAAAACCATTTGTTTCTTACTCTACCAAGTTTGATATTAACAATGAAATGTGAAAATCCTCACTTTTGTTTTTCTGAGATATTGTTTAGAGGGTTACTAATAGAGGGTTACTAACAGAGACATCGCAACCAAATTTTCATACCGCTTTTCCATGCCATGCTTTTAGATTCTAAATCTCTAAAAACTTCATTAATTAATTTAGGTAAAATATATATTTTTTGTCCTTTAGCTTTACTTCAAGGTTCAATTTAGTTTCTTAATTTAAAAAAAAGACCAATTTGATCCTTTAACTATTCAGACAATGCCATTTAAATCTTTTTTGTCTAATGCCATTTAAATCTTTTTTTGTCTAATTTTCACAAACGTTTTTTATGTGTGTATGTGTGACATTCGTTCGATGTGGCATCTAACATGTCATATATTTATATCAAAGTCATCAAAATTTCAAACAAAATTTTAAAATTGGCCTTCACCAAGACAAAACACGCCTCAACCAACTGGACAATTGTTCACTTGTGAATTAAAAACTCAATTTTATTAAATTAAACTATCCTTATCAGTAAAAACTCAGAATACTTTATTGTTGCAACCTTTCCTTTCTCTTTCAGTCTTTTTAAAATGTTGCTGAATCTATTACAAAACAATTCTAATTTCAATAATTTTGCAGATATAAACTTAGAGTATTTCACTGTTCCTGAATCCATTACAAAACAATTTTGATTTTTCATTCCACTATCTCAAAACTCTTCCAAATTCGTCCATTGCAAATTTCATCCTCCAAATTTCAAACCCTAAAATTTGAAATTTCTCATATTAAACCCTAATTCTCATCACCTTCACCTTCATCAATAGAGAATCATTCCAATTCACATTCCAATTCGCGTGATTCCTCACCTACCTCTCTCGATTGTAATGTGAAATTATCACGCCTCATTGGTAAACTTTCTACTATGACGAATTCTGATGTCTGCTTCAAGTATTAACTCCCTGGTGAATATCTTGATGCTTTGATCTCGGTTTGCAATGAAGATGATCTCGATTACATGATGATCGATGATGTTGTTTTTATTGTTAAAGAGAGAGGATTGATGTGTGTGGTGTGATTACTGCGTTTTGTTTGTTTGAGAAAGGGAAGAGGACCTGATTTCAACAGAAAATATTTGCGTTTTATTTTGTCATAAATAATTTATAATACGAATATGGGCATTTTTGGTCCTTCGAGACCCTTGAAAAGCCATTTAAACTTCTGTATAATATGTAATGTAGTTACTGTCTTACTCTAATCTAAAGTGGCCGCAATAGTTCAAAGAAAATGATGAGTTAGGTTTTTTCCATGTTGTATATTAATTTGAGTTTTAATCGAACGGAGAACAAAAGGATCAAATGCTAGTAACTTTCTTACTTTCAAATTAGTTCAAAGAAAGTGCGTGTGACCTTTTATGATCTGACTGCCACCAATGTATAACACCTAATAAAGTAGTGGTTTAGATATGCATGAGATTCTCCATTCTTTTTTATCTCTCTTTAATAATACTTTTCAGTTCATTTTCCATATGAAATTACCTTGTTAGAATTTGTCGTTTTTTGACTACTATATGATATAGTACCATCCAAAATGAACAGAAACTCCACTTTTAATACACATTTAGTGACTTAATGCACTCATCTATACTAATACTGAACTCTTCAGTTCCAGCATTCAGAAAACAGTGTCACACACATGTGTATATAGTAGAGAAAAAGTTTTCACCAGTTTCTGTCAAACTTCTATGATGAATAAGAACCGTGCATATGCCGACACTTGTGATGGAATTGAAAGTCAAACATTTTAAAAATAATTGTCTACTATCATTTTAGAAAGAGAATCCTGAGTGCATGTGCAGCATTATTAACTTGCCTGATTTATTTTGATTTTTGCTTATTCAACAATGAAATAGTTTATTTCATTTATTGGCATGAGTAATTATAAGCCACACAAACCTAGGCTCCTCTTTTCATCACTGATAAGTGTAAGGACTTATGAAGAATGGCCAATTGCACATATGGGCATAGATAGATACATGCACTTATTTTTGGTGGATTCTAACTCAATTATTACAAAATTAACTTACACGATCAATACTCTCTACCACTTACATATACATTTTAACGAGGTGTAATCGGATAGACAAAACTGAATAAATAAAAAATTTCAAATTAAATCAAATAAAAAAAAATCAGCCTATTTCAATTTGGTTTAAAAGCCAAAACGAATCAATAAAAAATGAACTTGTTCAATTTGATTCTCGATTTTCATCTTAAAAAACCGCTGAGCCAATAAACCGAATAAATATGTAGAATGAGCCTATATATATTTGAGCCAACATAATTCAACAAACGTATGTTGTTTCACTCGTCTTCTTCTATGTTAAAAAAAAAATTAAAGATGAGATCTGCGTCTCACCACAAACCTAAAGTTTCACTGTTCAGTGTCTCAATTTTGGTTGTTTATATTATTCCGCTTACCACCATCATTCTTCAAACTTCTGTTTTAATTTGTTAGAATTCAATACTGAAACTCCATTAAAAAATGAGAGAGAGAGAGAGAGAGAGAGAGAGAGAGAGAGAGAGAGAGAGAGAGAGAGAGAGAGAGAGAGAGAGAGAGAGAGAGAGAGAGAGAGAGAGAGAGAGAGAGAGAGAGAGATGTGTAACTAACTTTCTAATCTCAAAATGCAAAATTTCAAATTTGTTACAAACTCCAACTAACTCTGGGTTTTATAATAATCCAAACTCAAATGCACATTAAATCCAAACTCAAATTCAAATGCAAATGTAAACTTCAATGCAAATGAAACCCAAAATTAAATTAACCTTGAAAGTTGAATTACATTCAATACCATCCTTTAATTCACATTCAAGTTAAAAATCAACAACACTAATTCCATCCCTCAAATTGATGAAATGTTCAGTTTTGATTGCCTCGGTCAGCACATCTGCAAGTTGCTTCTGAGTGCTTCCATGAACAATCTCAAACACTCTATTATGAACTTGATTGTACTGAAAACAATACTTAATATCAATGTGTTTGCTTCTTTCATGCATCATCGGATTCTTAGCAAGACTTATGGCATATTTGTTGTCAATCATCAATCTGACTAGTTTGCTCACCTTGAACTTCAGTTTCTGCAACAAATTCATCAATCAAACAGACTGACAAACTGACAAAGAACCAGCTATATATTCAATTTCACAGGTTGACAATGCAACCACTAGTTGCTTCTTAGAGCACCAAGAAATGGGAGATCCAAGATACATAAACATGTATCCTGTAATGCTTCTTCTTTCCACCCTGTCACCACGCCAGTTAGAGTCTGAGTAGGAGATTAGACCAACATCATCTGATACTCTAAACGAAAATAAAATTTCATACCTCATAGTTCCTTTTACATTCCTTAGAATTCTGAATGCAGCTTGGTAGTGTGACCAGTTTCGTTTACTC